AAGATCCTGATCTGAACCCTAATCTTCATAATGGTTTATTCAAAATTTTTAACCTCAAAAGCTATACTCAAAAATTGGCTACCTCACATTCGGTATTTTCAAATTACTGGAGAAGATATTTTGGGTAAAGTACATCCATATCATCGAATCCTTGAACCTGAATTATGGAATGATATATTGACAAAATTTATGGCTCCAAATAAAGCTATTGCTTCAGTTGTTTTACCCTCGAATAGCCTTACTTATCGCGTTGCCACAAAGAAAACTTTTATTATAAATGTTCATTTTTAAAAAAATTAAAAATGAAATTTTGATGCTAACCGACAAAAGCTTTAACATACATATTATAAATATTCAATTATGCGTTCTTTAATTAATTTATATTTGCTTAGTACATGAGTATAAATTTAAATAATCAATTGAATGACGTAAGTGTTATTTAGCAATTAAATAAATTTTATTGTAAGTTTATTTTTTTTTAACTGACCTTTTACATAAAAAAATCGAAGAATGAAGAATTATGTGTTAATAAAATAATTCATCAAAGTTGTTTGTGAAGCAGATCAACTACTACCACAATGTTTTGAAGGACATGGCTTGAACATGGAACATGAATCCGAATTTTGGAGTGCGACGTGCGTGGAAGAATAAATCTGAGATTGGAGGAATTGGGTTATTGTAATTTTTTGCGATTTCATCGTTGGTCGTTGTGATAACGGACATTCCCTTTACCATCTTTATTAACGGCAAGCATTACCCAGGCGAATGTAATAAAGAGGTATATGCTAATAACAGCCGCCATTTTTGTGCAAGAGATGCGGTTACAACATATGGTTTAAATGTTTATAATTGAATCGAGTCGAGTTGGCTCAAGTTAGAATATACAGTAGCTTATTATCAGTATATATATATATATTTTATAAAAAATTTTATTTTGAAATATTAATATTATTTTATTCAATTTCAGCAAAGCTTTTAGTTTATTATTTTTATATAAATTATTCGCGTAATTTTTGATTAAAATCTTTATACAGTATCCAAATTATTCGCGTAAATTTTTGATTAAATTCATTATACAGTATCCTTAATTATTATTATTTTTAAACATTATGTAATTTTTATTGTCACTCAATCATACGATACATTAAACACTACAACAAACGAATACTATGGAATATATATATGGGATATCGCCTCGATGCCCACGTGGTCAACAGCTACTTCCTAACATCGTCAATCTACCCTACTCTATTCTCTTATTTGATATCAGAGCTGTTCAGTCGGGCTATAAGAGCACTTATCTTCGATATCCACCCAGGCTATCGACATATCCATAACCACCAAACACTAGGGTGTTCAATAAACTAATTAATCAAAACATAGTTAGGGTCATTAAGTTCGGATTTTTTTAAAGGGTTATTTAACGTATAAATTTATATATGAATTTGTACTAATTTAAGTACACTTTTCTACACAACTAACAGACAAAATTTTTTTTTTAAACTGTAGTTCTGGACTAGCTCTACACTGTAACAGAACCGGTTTTTTAATAACCTATGTTGATTATTATCCAAAATTTTATTAAAAGTTATTAATAAACCGGTTCTGTTACTGTGTAGATAGTGTTGTACATGGACACCTGTCCATGGACATATGGACATATATGGTCCATGGACATGGACATGGACACTCTATAGTTTCATTATGTCCATGGACAGTCCATGTCCATGTCCATCCATGGACGGTCTATGGACATGTCCATGTCCATGTACATCACTGACTGTGTAGAGCTAGTCTAGAACTACGGTTTAAAAAAAAAAAAACACATACAATTTTGTACCTAAATTAGTACAAATTTATATGTGAAATAACCCTTTAAAAAATCCGAAATTAATGATCATCATATATGAGTTTTGATCAATTAGTTTATTGAACACCCGAACCAAACACCCCCACCCACAACTCCTTTGCCTGGTGGTGGTTGGGTGGATGGGCACTAACGACAAAGCTAGACTTTCGTCGAGCCTACTTCAGATCCAAAAGTCCTTAAATAGTCATTTACCATGAGTTCATACTTACCATCACTTATTCCATCAAACTCGACACTCATCACCCAATGCATCACTTCTTACTAATCAGTTATCTCATCGATACCTCATTACTTACTAATAACCCAATTCCATCATGGGTCTGGGTCATGACCTCGTGACAAATGGATGCTCTGTGACTTCGTTCACGCATCCCAATTACTAACAATTTTTTGCATGCTCAATAATTCAAGATCTTAATCATTCTATTGACTAAACGTATCCAAGTACAAATTATCGTATTTCATCAAAATTGTTTCATAAAATTATTTACATTAGTGAATGCAATGAACTTTTTTTATATATATTTAAAACCATCTACAATCCTTAATCGTGTAAAATTTCCCTTTGAGAATATTATAAGTGATAGACTCTAGGTCAAATATAATCTAGTTGTATATAAGCAAAAAAGAAAAAAAACTATAAATTCACTAAAAAAATTTTAACTTTAGGAGGCGATGTATGCCATATTCACGCATCAGTTGTGATATTCTATTTGCACTTTCAAGTCTTATATAACTCAATTTAAAGTTTATTTTCGGATCCCTGTTTCGTGCAACTGCGTTTTGCAGCTATTATTTATTTGTAACCAGTTCAGTATGTAAAAAAAATTTTAGGATATATTAACTACATAAACTAACCTAATTTGACTAAATGTAACATATTAATAATTAATTTAATTTGTACACAAATTTTAATATTAAAAACATTACTGATGCAATTTAATTATTAGAGATTAAGTATAAGAACATTATTAATCTACAAATTAAAATCTATAATTTAAGTTCATAAATATCTTATTTGTTTATGATAATTTAGCTCGTGAGTATATATGGGCATATTAATAAAATTTTGTAGTATAGCTCTTTAAAGTTTGTATTTTCTTATGATTTATTATAAAATTTATAACATAAAACTTGATTTTCTGAAGATCATTTGTTTTGTTAATTTACCCTCTTTTTGCAGCACAAAGCCCATATAAAGATGAATCATTAATTAATAGAATTAAAAACTGCAAATAATGACTTACATATTGTATCATATTCATAAATGCTTATTTACTAATTCCTTTAAAACATTTTAGTTAGTGAGTATAAAGATGAATTATTAATCTATGGGATGAAAAACAGCAAATCATGTTCAAAATTATCATAAATACTTATTCATAATTAATTATATACCATTACAATTACCCTTCAAATTATTTTGTTTGGTGAGTATAAAAATGATTTATTAATCGTTTGAGCACAAATCATGTTCATAAATGCTTATTCATAAATACTTATTCATAATACTTATTCATAAATACTTATTTACTATTATCCAATACCCTCCAAATTATTTTATTCAGCGAGTGAGTCTAAATATCTCTAAATAATCAAATTCATATTTCGTACATTTTGGCTAATTTGATTGGTTGTTTGTAAATACTTAAAAGCTTGCATTTACTACATGAAAATGTCGTCACATTACGATATTATCATATTACGACATTTTTACATAGATTATTGTATTGCTGCATATATTATCGATTATCTGCATGATAAATGTCATCAAAATGTAATTCTCATTAGCTTATTGCAGGCCTACCGAATAATTGATTGTAGTGGAAATTAATTGCAATTATTTGACCACAATTAATTAATTGGTGGCGCAGCTACAATTAGTCAATTAATTGCAATTATTATAAAAATAACGATAACGTTACTGTTACGTAATTAATTTATACATCACATCGATATCAATATTGAAATCAATATCGATATGTTATTAATTTTACTTTCGGCCTGATTAATTAATGATTAAATAAAAGCTTTTAAAGGCACGTATATCAAAGATAGTTTTTCATTTTTAATATTTTTTCAATGAGTACAAAAATTTTAAACAAGTATTATGTCGAGGCCTTTTTTGAATCTACAATTAATGGCAAGCATCAATGTAACTTATGCGCTCCTGATCACAACCAATTTCTCAAAAAAAAGGAACTGGTTATACAAATTTAATGAATCATTTGGAAGCTAAGCACGAAAATTTCAAGTTGATTTATCAACAACATGCTGAAAGTACTATTTCTTCTGTATCTAATATGTTTGATTATAGCACAAGGGTGCATAATGTTTTTAACTGGATAAGCCTTATTGTAAAATGTTGATTACCATTCAATACTTGCGAAAATCCTGATTTTATTGCACATACTGGTCTTTTGAAAGTAGATATCTCCACGGTTAACAAATATTTTAATGGTGTAGCAGATATTGTATGAGAAAAAATCAAAAATATATTACTAGATAAGATTGGAATAATGTTTGATGGATGGATGAATAATGGAATTCATTTCATCAGATTGTTTGGTGTTTATCAAACTAATAACAAATCTAGAAATTTAATTTTACTAGGATTTTTACCATTCGAAGATCACACTACTCAGACACAGATGCGTATATTAAGTTTTTTGAGGATGTTCTAGAATCGTATAATAAGAGTGTTGAAAATGTCTTGTTTATTTTGGGAGATAACTGTAGTACTAATAAAAAAAATAGCCAACAATTTGGATCTTCCACTCATAGGATGTGTATTGCATCATTTAAACTTAGCAGTTAATGATATTATTAATTCTTTGGCAGCTCTTGTAAATCAAATTCGTGAAGTTGTAATTATGATGCGTACTTACAAAAATCGTGAAAAGCTTGCAAAGGTAACATCATTGAAGCCTAAATTGGATAATGTAACTCATTGAATGAGTGCATTAAAAATGATTGAATGATGTAAAGAACTGATTCCTCATGTTACTTAGGCTAATAGATTTATGGGTTTATATATTTTTATTTATTTTTATTTAAATTTTTTAATTTTATTTATTTTTTTTTAAATTTATTTATCTTTTTAGTTTTATTTATTTTCTAGGTCGAGATATTTCATTAGTAAAGCAATTAAATTTAACTGAAATTAATAATTTTATTAATTGACTTCGATATTTTTCTGAAGCGACCAATTATTTACAAAGTGAATCAATGAATCTAGATGATGTTTGTGCTTATTTTGACTTGCTAATCGAAGAGTACCCAGAATTGGAAAATCGATTAGAAAGAAATGCGTTAATAATTCATGATCCTCTTTTGAAATAGCCGTAGTCAAAGTCTTGTGTAATCAAGAAGCTGTATTATCATTTACTGAGAAACAAAAGCTTCAAGTGTTTATCGTAAAACAAAATATACAACCAATAATCGAAGAAGGATCTATGTCTATGAGAGAGTGAGTTGCAAAAAAGTGTAAAATAGAAGAATCAAAATACTTAGATATGAATATCATCCCTCCTACGTCTAATGCTGTTGAGCATTTGTTTTTAGTCATAAAATATTATTATACAGATTGGAGAAAATCTCTTCATCCGCATACTTTAAAAAATCTCTTACTTCTAAGAATGAATAGAGAAATGTGGTCAATTCAAGATGTTAACCAGATTAAAAAATAAAATTTAGTATTAGTGTAAATAAAAGTTCTAAATTTGTCTAAAATGCATTTTACATCTATAAATATGTTAAAACCCTTAATCGAATATTCATTTCTAGTATTTCTAGTTTAATATAACCGATTTTTTAAAGTATTAATTTTTTTATACGTAATATTAAAATTGTGTACTGAACATAGCGCTATAAGGAAAAAATTGAAATTAATTACAATTATTTGCAATTATTTTGTCATTAATTGGGTTTTA